GCCTTTGAAAGCCTTCAACCAAAAGGTTGTTTAGCCTTCGGAAACACACGGCTAACCTCTTTGGCATTTGGATCATTCAGCCCAAAACTCATCAACTTCAATTTTGGTTATAGTTCAAGTATTTTTAACCTAAAATGCTTGTTTTGACTCCTCTTCTATCATATATCCTTGTTGGCCGATCCATTAAGTAGTTCATGTACCAATCAGCTATTTGGACATTGAGTAGTCTATATTATTCAGCCTTCGTGTTTTCATCGGATTTGATGAAGGAATGTCTAGGGATAAAGAAGAGGAATTGGTTAAAGTTTTTTCTGTCTAAAACAGAAGGATAATCATGAAGATTGATGGCTACTTGAGTGATATCGGGTATTTTGACAATTGGACTAGAATTTTTAAATGATGAATGAGAAAAGACATTAGGAATAGCAGGGAAAGTATCATTAGAAATGATATTAGGAACATGTTGTAAAGTGTTAGAATGAGAAAAAGGGAAAACATTTTCATAGAATGTAAAACCTCTAAAAACAAAGATAGTTTTAGAATTCGGATCATTAAGCTTGTATGCTTTCATTCTAATAGGATAACAAATGAATACACATTGTCTAGCTCAAGAGTCAAAATTTTTTGGTTATGAAAATAGAGTAGAACCAAAGCAAAAATAACCAAAAACTCTCAAGTAAAGATAAGAAGTTGGCTTGTGAAATAATAATTTGTAAGGTGTTTTGTCATGTAGAATAGGAGTTGGAATCCTATTTATCAAGTATGCTACAGCTTAAAACTACATCTCCATAAAAACTAATTGGTAAACAAAACTCGGAGTAACAAAGCTCTAACAATGACAAGAAGATATTGATGTTTCTTATCAAATACACTATTTTGTTAAGGTGTACCTATATATGAGAATTTATGTACTATACCTTTTATGGAAAAAAAATTAGTGAGATTGAATTATAAACTATTGTCCGATCTTATTTTTTTAATGAAAAAAACAAATTGATTTTGGATGAGATTGAATAAACTATAGATGTATCATATAATTTTGATTTCAACGAAATAGCCATGACATTCTAGTGAAATCATCCACTATAGTGAGAAAATAATGATATTTTCCATGAGTTGGTTATGAATAAGGTCCTCATATATCAACATGAATAAGTTGAAAAAGAGTAATAGTGTTTGAGGAGTGAACGGGAAAGGAAAGTCTTTTGTGTGTGGCCATTAGACATACAATAAAAGGATTTTTATTAAAATTTATATCATTATGTGCATCGTAACAGATTTGATGAAGAACATTCATCTTATCCAAATGTACATATCCTAATCTAAAATGCCAAAAATTAAAAAAATCTTTAATATGAAGAACATAACTGGTGTTGATAGTAGGAACAAAAGAAAAACTAGACTTATTTATGTGAAAACTAGAAGAAACTAAAGATTAAGGAAGTATTGAATCTTTCAATAAGTAAAGACCACTTCTAACCTTAGAAAATCCAATCATTATCCATGAAGGAATCATCTAACAAAACAAGAATCACCATGAAATTCGACAATAATGTGACTAGAAAAAGGTAAGTTTACTAACATATATCGGATTGAATTTAAAGGAAGAAATGTAGGGAACACTATGTAAGACTAGTTTAGAAGACAAATATACTTGTGTCGAATTTGTAGCGGACATCTTGGAACCATATGGCATTAACACTAAGACATGTTCAATGAATTGATAAGCATTGAAAGAATTCAAGCAATAAGTGACATGGTATAAAGCTATCGTATCAATGATCTAATATTTATCATTCATAAGATATATTAGATACTTTGTGAACTTTATGCAACAATAATATGAAAACTGAATATAATTTTATGTGTCAAAAGAATTTATACCCGTCATGCTCGATAAAGTAGAAGAAGGTTCAAGCGATGCGTCTTGTTCACCAAGAAAAGTCATTAGTCACTAAATTTGATGTTGAGTTAATGACCACTTGTGATAATGAATTTGTGGTAATATTGATTAAAGGTGTATCAATGCTTGTAGTAGCACGAGTTAGCATTCATAGCTAAGCTTTCATCCGATCGAGTTGTCACAAAGTTAACAATTGATTAATTACCTTTATTCTTTATAAATTTATTTGGAAATGCAATCAATCAAAAATAACATTCTTTAGTATGACTAGCCTTGCCACAATGAGTACAAACAAAAGTGTTTTTAGGCTTCTAACAAAAATTTCCTCTCACTACCATTGCTTGAAGATTCTAAAAGAGGCTAAATTGACACTCCATAGTTTTTTATGACTCCTCTCTAATCACCGGATTATACACTCTATCAAAAAAAGGAAAATACTTTATCATAAGTACATGAAACCTCAATCAAGCATAAGAATCATTCAAGCCATTAAGGAAACGAAATGCATAATCCTTTTGTTGTAAATCAATAATTTTTCTAAAGCAATCCGAGCTACATTTTCCACATTCACAAGAAGGTAAAAGCCTAAAACTCTTTAATTTCTTCTAAACAGAATTTAACTCGGTGAAATACTCATCAATATTTCAACTATCATGGTTAATAACACACAAAGCATGTTACAAATTGTAAATTTTAAAGTCATCTACTTGAGATAATTTTTTTTTTAAATACCTTCCAAATTTTTACGACCAAATCCATGTAGAAGAAAGTTGTAGCAATTGGAAAAGAAATTAAATGAAGAAGCTAAAAAACGGTGAGGTTATTGCATCGCAACCATATGCCAAACATTACATTGTTCATAGCTGGTGCCGCAATTGTTCCATCAACAAAACCATTTTTGTTGTGAATTAAGAGTGCAAGCGAAATAAAAGGCTCCAATAAGCATAACTACTCGAAGTTAACTCAAGAGAAATAAACACACTTGTGTGATTATCTCGCATGATAAAAATGAAAAAAAGATTATGGATCTTCTATTGAAAGATTATAAGCAAAATCGCCATTGATGAACTTCGAAGAAAAAGCTTTCGAGAAGAAGAAAAAATAAAACCTAATTGTTAGGCTCGATACCATGTTTGATTATGAGGGAGAAAACATATCTACTTCTTCTTATTTCATCAAAACAAAAATTACATATGCATTTACAATTTGTTTCTCAACTATTATACTATAGAAGAGAAGCAAAGTTCAAATTCTCAACTTGCTACGGTTACTCCCGACCCAACTAATTAACAAAGATAACAACTTTTCTAACTAACTAACTAACTTAACTAATTAACTAATAGATAATTAGTTACACACAAAACTTATGAGGTATACACATAAGCAAGTGAAGCCAAATAAGCAAAAGCAAAAGAGTAACTTGCTTTTAATAACATCTTTAAAAAAAATAATAAATAAAAAGCTTATGTCAGCTATTTGCTAAGCAAATGATGGAAGTATATGATTATTTAATCAAATCACTCAAATTAACTATTTGTTTAATAAATTTCACAAGAATTAACTTAATATATAGCCTTAAAAATAAGGGCGAATGAAATTGAAATATAATATTTTTAATTGAAATAAAAGCATTTTTCTTTAGCTTAATAAAGTTAATTTATGTAGCCCACCATCTTAATAAATCCAAGTTTTCTGGTTCAAAGATAAATGTGCATGTGTGGGCAAATTTCTAGCTAGAATACAATAAATATGTGCGCACAATTGTTTAGTAATGTGTTTCTATCGTATTTCTTTATTATAAAATATTCATACAATACGAGGAATTATTCAATATATTGAAAATTAAAAATTATTTTCTTTTCTTAGTCATATAAAGATAGATGCATTAATAATTTTATGATAAGACCCATGCATGTTTATATAAAAAGAAATATAATTCCTTACGTAGTTAATAATTTGTTAAGAAAAAACATTATTACTTAGAAAGTAATAATATACGGAATACATGAAAATACCGCAACCACATGATTTGTGAAACCTATAAGGCATCACAGATAACTCCCACAAATCTTGCAGTTGTGAATCTTTCATGATTATTATTGTACAAAATTAGTGGGGGCAATAAATTATTCTAGAATGATTATCATATGAAATTTATGTTGATACATATGCATCACTTGAGTCTCTGTAATTTCGCTTCTAATCCCACATGTGTGTGTCCTAAACAATTTTTAAATTCTTCAAAAAGGAAATTTAAGAAACTGGATTTTCCATTAGCTGACATTAACAATTCAACAACAGATTAATGCATATTTTTGAAAACAAAATTTAAAATTAAAGGATTGAAATTGAAAATTTTTAAACAAAATTAAGCAAAGTCAAGCAGTTGGAAAACTAGAGGGGCCAAAACCTAGTTTCCCGTAAACAGACAAAATCTATCGTGATAAGAATGCGATGAAGATCTTGATTGCTAGGGAGCATAGAATTTTAATAGGACAGCGTAGTAGTGGAAAAAAACCTTGAAGACGAGCAACGGTCGTTGATGGCATTTACCTCCAAACCGCCCAATGATTGGGCAGTGCCTTTAATATTATAAAAATCCACATTCCCATATCTCTCTCTTTATTCCTTAATTTCAGCACATAAAACACAATCTCCTAACTAAAAACAGTATTTCCTTTCAGATGAATTACTACCAGATTTTAGACAGAATACAATATTTGAAGTTCTGAGATGCATCTAATGTTTGGTATTCTTGTGGTTCAAGGAGATCAGAAAGTTGGAGAGAGAGAGTGGGAGAAAGAGAGATAAATATTAGCCAGGCCAAGAAAATTTCAGATTCAGTATTCATTCTCTTTGTGCGTAAAGGGTTTTTTTTTTTTTTTTTTTTTTTTTTTTTTTTTGTTCCTGCATTCAGACTCTTTTATTGCCCATAAAGTTCAATCATTGAAAGATTTTTAAGAGTGATTTGAGGGAAACGGTAATTCTGTTACATAAAGAAAAAGATTTCAAATTTTGAATTTCAGACGACCTAGCTCTTGTTGTGTTTCAGTTTCGGTTTGTTCTCAAGTAGTCTTTTTTTTTTTTTTTTGACAGAATGGCTGCGGCAGTGATCAAGGAAGCAAAACCAATATCTTCTCAATCTGAAGTTGAGTTTGCAAAATGCGCCTGTTGCGGATTCTCGGAGGAGTGCACTCCAGCTTACATTTCTCGGGTGCGAGAGAGGTATGGCGGTCGTTGGATTTGTGGATTGTGTGGAGAGGCTGTTAAAGATGAGACTCATAGGGCTAAAACAGATATTAGCACTGATGAGGCATTGAAACAGCACATGAAGTTTTGCCAACAGTTTAGATCTTCGACTCCTCCAAGGAATTCCACTGAGGAATTGATTTCGGCTGTGAAACAGCTGCTTCGACGAGGTTTGGACTCTCCTAGGAAGAAGACATGTTCGGTTTTTTCATCAGAAGGGTCGCCGCTTTCGATTGAGAGTTGAAAGATTTGAAGAGTATTCAATAATGACCATGAATGGTTAAGCTATTGACCAAGAAAGGTAAGGCAACCTGTGATTAGTTATGGCTCATGTTTTAAGTCACTTTAATGTTTTTCTACTGAGTTTTTGGGTGGCTAGTGGGATGGTTTAAGTGTAATGGTTATGCCATGACATTAGATTGAATGGATCAAAGTTGAGGGAATTTCCCTTCATTCATTGAATTTGGTTAGATTGTTGAATATGTTTTCAATTAGTTTTAGTTATGAGTTTGCTTTGTGTTCCAAGACTAAAAAACGCTATGGTAATTAACAGAAAGAAAGAAATTATGACTGATTACTGTTAAAATCCAAAGTCATGTATTGATCTTTAGATAATTTCATCAAGCAAATATGTATTGTACAACTACTCTGGCAGCTAAAATATACACATTGAGTGGTGTAACAAATACAATAGAGTAGCATCTATTGGGCACCATCAAAATAGTACTGTCAAAGGAATCTGCTTTTCCTGAAGAGTTTCTGGCAACAGAAAGAGTATACCATTTCTAGCAAGGTAACAAGTTTCAATGTTTCATGAAAGATACTGGCATAGAAAAAGAGACTTGGAAAAACTGTTGGCTCTCTTCATGCTCTCCTTACTCTGAAAGAAACCAGTGGATCAGGATCCTGTAAAATATCGAAGGTACACTGGCCATGAGGCTGTGCAAGAAAGGGGCCCTAGGGGTCCATATCGTTGCTTTGCCTGTATTTGTCGATAAATTGTTGTGATCAGAAGATAAAACATGGAGTCATAAATAAAATGAAAAAAACCAGCAGGCAGTAGGTCCAGCTTTATAAATGCTCGATCGAATGCAACAAAAACCATCCTCTGAATTGTTTGCTGTATCTTAACAGCCTAAATCACTTTTTGTTTCAGCATTCTTGTTTGATGTTTTGCCATAACTCATCACACCATAAGTTGTTTTATTTTAGTTTGATAATCTTTAATACACAAGAGGTTATCTAAAATATATAAAATAAAAAATAAAAAATAATTTCATCTAATTTTATAATTTTTAATCAAAACTTATATAAAATTTAATAAAAAAAATATTTTTTTATTGTTTTTTTAATGTTGATGAGAAGACTATCTTTTTGAAAATGTGTATATATATTTGATTTATATATGTATTTACAAAATAATCAATAATTCTAAAATATTATTTTACTATTTTATTTGAAAAAATTAATAATAAATGGTTGGTGTTATGTGTGTAGAAGCATAATTAATTTTCAATAAAATCAATAATTTTAATTTTTTTTTTATACAACATGACCACACTCAATGGATCAGAATGTGCATCATAAATCAAAAAATATTTTTTTAAAAAAAAACTTAAGTTATAAGAAATACATTAAAATTAATATATTGCAATAAAAACAACCATAAAATTGATTCCGATAAATTTTGATTATATAAAAAATAAATAAATAAAAAACATAAATTCTATTTTTATTTTTTTAAAATGATTCAAAAATTCATACACATAGAAAATACATTATATTTATTAAAAAATAAAATTATATTTATTAAAAAATAAAAAAAATTAAAGAGATCACTTTTAAACAATAAGAGTAGTATAATCTGATATATATGTTCATGGAAAACTATAAAAAAAAAAAAAAACAATTGATTTTTTTATAATTTTTGCACTTAATTGAATAAAAAAAAGTTACTTGAAAAAAAAAGCCCAAAAAAATAATTATTTATTGAAAATTATTAAACAATTCATACACAGAGAAAAATAAATTATATTTATTAACAAATAAAATTACATAAAAAAGAAGAATAAAAAAAATTGAAAAGAATTTTCATTAAAAAAATGATAAATTAAAAAGATCAATTTTAAATAATAATAATAATAATAATAATATGTGTGTATGTGTTCATGAAAAAAATATTTAAAATAACAATTGGTTTTTTATAATTTTTGCATTCAATTCAATAATAAAAATTGCTTGAAAATAAAATCTTAAAAAAAAAAAAAGAAGAAGCAAGCCTTGTCCATTCAGGGATCAAAATATCTTCAAAAATATCATAAACCAAAATGAAATATGATATAAAATTTACATATAAATGCCCAAAACATAATAAAAACATTACGAAGATATGACCGCACCACATAATGAATAATGATTTGTGAAAAATTAAATAGCAAATGACTTTTATTCTTTTAGTTATTGTTGTGGACATCCAATGGATATTGAGATGAAATATAATTTGAGTAACCATCTTTCAAAAATCCCTAAATCTCATTCCATCCATTTCAGGAGTTGAAGTCCGTCCCCCAATACAAAATTTAAGTCCCAACTCAGTGAGGTAATCTGAATATTGTGGGCTGTAATAGTTTGACTTAGAGATTACGAAGTGTCTCAAATTAATAAGGTGCATTGGGTTCCAAAAAAAATGAAAAGAATACATGCGTGCAAAGCAATGTTAATTGCTTGCAAGTTATTAGCATTGGTGAGGTCAAAATTCCCCTTCTTGTTTGCTTACGAACTTCACTTTGGTCAAATGTAAACGAGATCTAACGAATTAAGTAGCAGTCTTGGATGACTGAGAGATAATAAAATAAACAAATTAGCAAGGAAATCGTACGAGTGGGACTATCTTCTGATAGGGTGAATAGTCCTAAACAAAAGCAGTTCAACCAATCCCAATGTTCCAAATCTTGCCTTGTTTTTCTACACTGACAATATTTAAAATGGACCAGTGCATCGATGCATTACTTTTATATATATATATATATTGTGTGTATGGATGTATGTATTGTAATTATTTTATTGCCTCTGTCTTAATTGTTGCTTCTTTTCATGATTGAGACTGGTTTTTTTGGTTTTGGGCTAAAGTTAGAAGCACAAATTGTTGAGTTTGAGAAAATGGAGTTGCATAAATTCGAAGACAGAGAACACAGTGCTTGATTGCATGAAAGTATCATTATAATGTATTTAAGATATTTATTACTCTCACTGTAATGCTGTAATGATTTTAATAATTTATTTTTAGGATTCACCTTTACATCTAACGTATTGCAGGCAGCGTTGCTCAAATTTCTTCTAGAAAATTTCTCTTTAAACAATTTATGAAAAAGAAGAGTTTTGAGAGAGAGAGAGAGAGAGAGGAGGAGGAGGAATGCAGAAGAAAAAATTAATATATTTTATGAACAATAGTCCTTTATTTATAGATTACTAAAAACTTTTCATAATTATTATAATTGTTAAAAAGCTAATTTAATCTAACAGTCCTAACTATAACTATTACTTTTAACAGTCATAATCTAATAATCATAACTATTATATTCTTTTTTTCAAAAATTAATTAACTATTAGAGAAAAAAATAATTATTTAAGTATCAAATTAATATTAAAAAATTAAATTTAAAATTAATTAATCACACATCATGCGCGTGCAAAGTGCTAGCTTTTCTCCTCCAATTTGAGTTTCCTCAAAATCTTTTAATTGAAGATCTTTACAAAATATCTACTTATAAATTTTTTTTTTTAACTTTTCTTTTTAATGTGAGATTTTTTTATCACATTTAACTTATTATTTATTCAAATCATATTTTTTTTATTTTTCATTTTAAAAATAAGATATTTTTTTATCATATTTAACTTTTTATCTGTTCGGATCATGTTTCTCCGACACAAATTTGGTGAAACGAATTTTCACCATTCAACCCATATGAACTGTAGCTGATTTGCTAACGAGATTTGGTTATATCAGTGGCATGCATTTTCCACGTGCAGCATCGGTTGAATTTCGTTTTTCAAGCTTTATGAATGGGCTGTAATGTTCTTATGTTTTTTGTCTGCTTCACAACATCTAGAAACTCCTACCTCTAATTATGAGTAAATTATAAATTAATTCATGAATTAATTAGTTCATTTGATTTCAAAACCTAATTATTTAATCATTTTTTATTTTTTTAAGAAACAAAAAAAAAGTAAAAATTATGAAAAGATTGATGATAAAATGATATCTTTTATCAAATAAAAAATATTAAATTAATTATGATTAACACTGATTTAAAAAATTAAATAATTAGATTTTAAAACTAAGGAGACTAATTAATTTATTTTTCATATATATATATATATATATATAGTACTGTGTAGAAACTTAGGTGGAGTCATCTGTGATGGGTTATATATATATATATATATATATATATATATATATATATATATATATATATATAGTACTGTGTAGAAACTTAGGTGGAGTCATCTGTGATGGGTTATGTGTACTGCAGCATGTTCCTTTGTACTGCGCTTTCACCTCCTCTGCGGCTCTGCTTATGTTATTTTCAGACATTTTCATAGGTTTACAGAATTGACACGGAATATGTAATAATACTATTACTATGTAGTCAGTCAAGAAACGAAACTCTTGCTTAGTTATAAAAAGAATTCAGTTCATCTTTTTTTTGGAGTGAGAAAGGGGCACGTAATAAAGAACCCTTGCTTCACATTGGATTAAACCTATTTGCATGAAGAGATAGATGGGAAGTCAAAGAGTGCATGTAAAATGTGATCCAGGTTAAGCTTCATTAGTGTTGTTATTATTATTATATGTTGTGAATAAGCAAGTTGATAATAATTGATGAATTAGAATTATTTAAATTCACAGGAACTATTACAACCACCCCCGACAATGTTTTCGATGACGTAAACAAAATTTGATTGGAAAGAGTGTAAGTTAAATGTGATTCTTTAATGGCTGACGAGGGAGAATTTTGAAGCGATTAAACTCTGCAATATCTTGATGTACCCTTTTCTTTTTTTTTCTTTTTTACTTTTGCTTGGATAGAGAAATCCATCATGTTTATTAAATGCTTCCCACTTTATTCTATTAGCTTCTTTATTAAAGGAATCAGATTTATCATAACTTATCTTAATTAAATTCACTCGTTGAAATGAAGTTTGGAATTTGATTGTTATAGCTTCATATAGGAATTACGTTAAAAATAGAAAGTCATTTGCAGCCCTCGTTTCATTTTAGAAATCTTAAGATAAAGAGATGATGCTTTAGTGTTTGAGTAGCTTAGAATTCCAGCAAAACTGATAACGACTAACACCTAAATATTAATTACCAACCATTCTTCTTAGGAAAAAAAAAAAAATCACCATTTCAATCATGTGATCCTGTACCGTCCACTTCTAATCTCTCTCTCTCTATATATATATATTCGAAAGCAACAATTATTTTCTTTCTTGACGATCTTAATTAATTTAAATTGCTTTAAAATGCGTCTCATAACCCTCGAATTACTTGCATACCCATCTCCTCAATAGGCTAAGACAAAAAAGTACTAGTTATATAAGCTAGTTAATACAAAATAAAAATATATAAAATAATATCTGAAACTAATAATTGACATTAACAACTCCAACCACATCTAAAAAATAGATTAATGGTGTATGAGTTTATGGTCGATTTGAATCGAAATTATGAATTTTTTATTTTACATACAAGCTAAGATTTTTTATTTGCGAACTTGGATTAACCGAATCCAAAATTCTTGATTTACACACCCACTCACTTTCTTTTTCTTTGGAAACTTCTCAATGCTTAATAGTAACGTTAAAATAAATAATATTTTTATATTCATTTCAATTGTAGTTAATATATTTATTAGAATAAATCTATATCATTATGATTAATAACTACTAATTACATTTACAATATAAAAGAAATATAAAATCTGTACAAGATGGATAATTGATAATATGGAAAAAGATAACCAGCACTTGGTAATTTCATAAACACAACTATTTACTCGATTTAAGTTATGGTGCTGTTAGAATGTTAAGCAACCGATGTTTTCAGGTAATAATTTTATTCTTTTAAGGGCAAAATCGTAATCCAAAATTACCGTACGAATCAATAAAGCGTACTCGCTCCCTTGCGTACTACATAAATTACTACAGTTTTCCTACTTTTATGCTCCTCCCCTTCCTTCCGACCTGGCCCACTCGCAGATCATAATTATCTGATTCTCCTTGGTTTTCTCTCTCACTAAAACTCGGTCCTTTTCTCCCTATCTACAACTCACTGAGTCAGCAGTCATGATGCACATGACTTTCTACTGGGGCTGCGAGGTGACGATCCTGATCAGCTCGTGGCACACAAAGACATGGCTCAGTTACTCACTCTCCTTACTCGCTTGTCTCATCGCTTCCATCTTCTACCAGTACCTGGAGAACCGCCGCCTGCGACTCAAACTCATCTCCAGCGCCTCTGCGAAAGCGAATTCATCACCCTCGGCTGCGATCGAAGAGCCGCTGCTTCAGACGATGGGTGGTGGGGGGAAAGGGAGGTGGTCGGCGGCGAGAGTGGGAGGAGCTGTGCTTTTTGGGATAAATTCAGGGATTGGGTATTTGTTGATGTTGGCCGTCATGTCGTTTAATGCAGGGGTGTTCTTGGCTGTTGTTTTAGGATTGGCAATTGGGTATTTGTTGTTTAGAAGTGAGGATGAGAATTTGATGATTCTTGACAATCCTTGTGCTTGTGCTTAGACGATAGATAGAATAAAATTATCGTATATTTTGTAAGAAAAAAAAATTAAATTTATCCTCCTAATAGCGTGTATTTTTTTTTTGTAAGAAATTTCTATTTTTTCAGCTGTTCTTTTGGGTAATTAGAATTTTAATTTGAATTGAAGATGTTAAGCAGTGAACAATTTCGTGAGGTAGAAGTAGGAGCAATTCAATCCGGAATTGTGTTTCAGTTTTTCAATTGCGATGATTACTGACATCTGAAAGCATCGAAAAAATTCATCCTTTTGGGTTGCTTCTTGAAGGTGTCAAGAGATGTCTCCAACTGATATTGATATATGATTGTTGCTATCCAAGATAACCCGATTTGATGCATCACCTATCAATTCAAATATCGTTGAAGGTCTCGTTTCAAGGAGTTTAAACTGAAAGAGAACTGTCATTCCTCATATTTTAATGGAACTGTCATACCGCTTTTTTATTTTTTTAGATCATGTATTTTCCAGACATGGTTTTAGTTTGATCAGGAGCATGTTGTCCAGAGCCACTGTGAAGCTTGAATTGTAGAACACGCATGTACGTAAAACCAGGACAGGACGATAGAACTTTGCCAGACACAGAATCCCAGCTGTGTAAGAAAACAAAATGTCCCTCCAGCTTAACTGTCAATCAACGTTCATCCAAGCAGGTTTCCATTGAATCCTAAGAGGTAGCATAGAGGTCAGGGAGGTTTGCTTTTTCCCTAGATTTTCTAAGTTGGAATGTTGCAACCATCACTAATGGATAGATTTTCTAAATTCGAACATCGCAATCATCACTTATGGGAATTTATTTTCGGAATTTAATTTCCTAAGTGCATCCATTAGATGTGAAGGGGCTCCCTTAGTTGGAACCATTCTAAGTTTGAACATTCCGACCTTCATTTATGGGAATTTATTTTCTCAAGTGCATTAATTAAACGTGAACTCTCTTGATACTGAGTCCCAATAAATTTTAATAGCTTAAGTAAATGATCTTGATTCAAGTCTTTATGCATATAAAAAACTCTTTAAATAATTATTTCTGCCTTACGCGTTTGATAAAACAACGATGGATTAGTCTAGCTCTTTGGACCTAGATACCTAAAGGATCAAAAAAGAAAGTTTTGTTTTACCTAGGAAGCTCAAAAGATAACAAATAAAATTATTTGCTCTGCGTCACCTGAAAACAAAAAGAGATGGTAATAGCAAACTCATTTAAATGATCATGGCACCAATGCAACTTTGAAGAAGAAATTCATGAACACTGAATGTGCTTATGCAATTAAACAATGCTGTGAGCTTAATGCATGTATGCATGAACATGGCATCTCAAACATGACACTAAAAACATTATGATCTCTTAACTTATCCGAATATACCAAGGTCGTCTGGCTCTGTCCTAGTTGCTGACCTAATTGATAAAGCATGGATCACATGGTTCCTTTGGAACTACCTTCTATAGCAAATAGTTCAGTCGGGAATTCTTGCAGACTAGATATGGATGATATCATATACACCAACTCACCTACCCGCGGGGGTGGGGGGTTGTGTGGAAGATCGCTTGCCAACCCATTATAAGAGTTTCAAAGATTAACTTGTACCAAGGTAACAGAATATGAGCCGGCTTAGTCCCATGATCCACGAAGGCAGCTTTCCTTCTAGATTTCAATCCATTATATCATTTTTGGAGGCTGCTTGTTTGAAACACTTTCAATTGGAGCAGGTGAGTGGTTGTTGAAATTGAGATATTCTCATACCGAAATATTATTTGGTCTAATAGTATTTGAATTCTGTGTTTGATTAAGATAGATAGATGGTAGGTGCTTGTCTATCTTAATGTAATAAATAATGGCTTGGTATGATTTATCTGTAGATGCCTGCTTACAATTTACGTTAGGTACCTGTCTATTCTTCAGTCCTAGAATTCAAATGCATGGTAACAGAATTCGTTGAAAATGCAAGGAAATCATAGAAATTCATGCACTGATTCCCTCCCCTGCCGCTCATGTAAAAACGTGAGGAAGGAAAAGAAACCAAAGCAACAGTAAAAGAACGAATTTACCAAACTAAGCAAATCACATTGGCTTGTATTTTACAATCATACATTCCTTTCCAAGAATCCCGACTTTTACAGGATCATGAAAGTTTTTTAGTTACAAACTTTGAGCAATACTTCTTGCATCCCTTTCTTGCGAAAACTTGCGGGATTATCATTACACTACATGTATCAGACTACATGAACCTATTTATGAACTAAACAATGAAAAGCTTAAGGGGGAAAAAATAAAATAAATAAACATATGTATTTTTTAATATGTTTCTTTCTTTTGTCTAGACCTCACCTTTTCTTTTAGGAGAGTTTAAGCCATTTCCATATTTCTCATAAAGAGCAGGATCCGAATAAGATATTAGAGACAAAGGTAGTTTCATCCTACGTCTCCAAGCATGACGATGGCGGTGCCTTTGATTGTGGCGTCCATTTTCATCATTTGCATCCTTTTCCCCTTCACTTTTTGCTCCTGCATCTCTACTTAAACGTTTGCTGCTTCCATTTTCAGTTGGCACTATGTACACGAATGGTTTAACAAATGTATCATCAAAATCCTGAAGAGACTCCAAGACCTCGACCACGTAGCTCATCGTGGGCCTCGGCTTTGGATGATGACTCAGGCATTTATAAGCCAATGCAGCAGCCTTTTGAGCTCCCTTGCTGGAAAATTGCCCTTCAAGTCTTGGGTCCATGATCCTGTCAAGTTTGTTGGTGTCCTTCAACAGAGGTCTTGCCCATTCCACAAGGCTTTGGTCTCGACCTGGGCGGGTGCTATCCATCGATCGTTTACCTGTAAGCAACTCTAACAGAACAACCCCAAAGCTGTATACATCACTCATGGTTGTCAAGTGACCTGGAATCAGGATATTGGATTGGGTTAGGTTCCAAATGGAATAGAAACTACCAGATAAAAACATTTTTAAAATAGGTGGTGGCAGCTTCTATTCGGTGAAGGGTCACTGTTAGTAGAATTTATGTGAACTAAAAAAAAAAAAATTAATACAAGCATAATAGATAGGCTTCAAAATTAGGGAATTAAAGAAATTCAAATAGAGAAGAACATAACAAAAATTGAGCAACATCAATTACCAGTCATGACATACTCAGGCGCAGCGTAGCCTTGTGTTCCCATTACACGTGTTGTCACATGTGTCTCTTCTCCTTCAGGACCATCCTTTGCAAGTCCAAAGTCTGAGAGTTTAGCAGTGTAATCCTACAAGGATCGAGAGAAATGGTCTTTAGCATCAATTTAATTAGCATAAATATCTATTTTGTTGCATGTGATGGGAAATAAAGCTCAAGAGAGGGGATTACCGAGTCCAACAAGATATTTGAAGATTTAAAATCCCGGTATATCACTGGTTTGTCAGTTTCATGGAGAAACGCGAGACCCTTAGCTGCTCCCAGCGCAATTTTCATCCTAGTTGACCACGGCAATGCAGCAGAATATCCTACATGCATATTAACCAAGAAAAAGAAAGAACAGAATTATTAACAGCAATAACAAATAAAGTATTACCTGAGTTAATTCAACGGAAATCAACAGAACACAATTTTGGCACTGATGCTAAGAGTTTAAATTCCCAAATTTCCTCTCAATATGTTTTCAGATGTCCAACAAACACATGACATAAATCATCCTTCCTTTTTCTAAAATTTGTTCAATTCTGCTTAATTTTTATGTAGGTGAGAAATTTCTACAAGTTTTGGTCTTGTTTGGCTACAATCTTGATTTATGAGTGTTTCATCTATTAGGACGATTAGAATCAAAGTCACTTTCCTCTAAAACAATGCCATGATGTGAAAGGAAAAAAAAAGAAAAGAGGAGAAGCAACATACTTCTGAATAGTTGATTCTCTAAGCTGCCTCTTGGCATGTACTCGTATACTAGGAGTCTCTGGTCCTCCTCGCAACAATATCCAATCAGCTTAACTAGATGGGAATGCCTCAGTTGTCCAAGAAAGATTATTTCTGCCTGTAAGAAAAACACCAAAATGTTTTTAATTGGAATTAAATGTAATCAAGAGTTGGTGCTAAAACTTAGAAGTGGTCAGAGAGGGGGGTGGGGGGAAGATTATTTCAGAGTTGGTAATCTGAAAGGGTAAATTGTCTCGAAATCATTCCAAACAGAAAATTCTTTTATAACTTGAATGAGTAAAACTAACCATCCACTCCTTGTGTCCTTGCATGCCATCCAAATCTAGTGACTTTACAGCTACAGGTTGAGCATCCAATCCAGGCCTAAGCTTATCATCCACAAACCCCTTATAGACTGGTCCAAACCCACCTTCACCAAGAAGATTACTTCGCAAGAAATTCTGAGTTGTAACTCTTAGCTCTGAAAATGTAAATATGTGCAGCTTTGAGCCAGTGAAAGAATTTGAGATATCTTCTATGGATAGTGGTAAACTGGGATCGCTCACATCAGAGAGAGATAGCCTCTGAAAAGAACTTTGTTTCAAGATCGGATTTTCCGATTCTGGCAAGGGGCTGCTACAACAACTAAAGATCATAGATTTTAATGTGACTTTCTTCATAGTCATCTTGTATCAACAATACGGATCAATCAAACTTCTGATAGTCTTTTAGAGAATAAACAATATGAAGAAATGATTGGTCCTGAACATAGAAAATTTGATATTTTACACACTATATGAAAAGAACAGGAGAAAAGATGAGATGGACGCAGTTTTCTGATGTGAAAAAACTTCAATGAGGGCCGGCCCTTTTATTTTGTTCACTCACCTACTACTCTCAAAATAGATGGAACTATGCCTTGGGTATTCTGCGATTATTGGAACTATAATTTATATAGAAAAGATCCTATTGCATGATTTGAGGATTAAAATATCAAGTCTTGTCTTCAAGTTAGTTAGAGAGAGGGATGACTTGGCTGCCTCTTGACTTTGTACAACATTGATAGAAAAAGAGAAACAAACAACTGCATTTTC